GTGTCGTCAATTGTCACATCTGCGCCCTCTTCTGTTCATCAGAAATCCAACAGCAAGCCGAACGCACTTTACACCTGCGCCCTCTGCGACGTTCTCCTGGACTCGGTGTCTGATGCCAACAGGCACATCCGAGACAAGCGGCACAAGCGGAGGCTCAGGGTGAGTCGGCATCGCCAGAGTTTGCTTCCAGTATATTTGTGAGTTGTAAAAACCGGATGCGGACGTGTTGTGTTTGCGTCTGCAGGAGAAGAAAGAGCATGCCATGCTGACTGAGATCCTGCCTCCCGGCCCCGAGCATGTTCACGCATTGACCGCCGCTTTAGAGGCTGTGGTCCGCGAGCATGGAATGGATGACTGTGATGTTGAGGGGAGACGGTGTGTCGTGTCCCTCATGCAAGATCTGCTCCTGTCCGTCCTGCCTGGTGAGCCGCCTCAACATTTTTGTTGATCGCGGTATTAGTCACACAGTTAACCCACCCCCGTTATACCTGAGGAATAAAGAGAGGCGACCGCAAATAGCACCAAAAAAAAGAGTAATCGACACCCACGAAACATTTTTGTAATTGCCTCGATTAATAGTTTAAACAGTGAACATACCACAAACCACGAGCAGAAAACACTTTTTCATTTCAAACTTGTTATAAATAATGATGATTGATTTCCAGACCGAAAGTACACTGACGCTTTACATGCTTTCAAAATAGCAATTACTGCTGTTTGGCAGCACCTTAGGGCACAGGTGTCAAACTCAAGGCCCGGTGGTCAGATCTGGCCCGCCAGGTCATTTGCTTTTCGCAAATGACCTGGCAAATTCGCGAAAGCAAATCATGTGTGTCAACTTGTTAAAATGTGTCCCGAAATGTCAAATTGTCATGTGTAATAAATAACGTTGAGTTTTGCCAGTGGTGTAGTGGGGATTTTTTAAGTGGGTGTACGCGATTCTGGGATGTTCTATATATACATACAGAACATCTATCATAGGCTACAACACCAGTTGAACTAACGTTAAATTTAATGTTTTACGACTCCAAAATAATCACAGGCCAACATTGTTAAGCATAACTCGCATCAGAACAATGATCAACAAACATTTCAATAAAAATTGAATGTGGCATCGGGAGAAGTGGGTGGACGGCGTACCCCCGCGTACCACGCCCACTACACCCCTGGATTTTGCAATAATTTTGTTCCACAATTTACACTCACTTGAACAATGATTGAACAAACTGTTATAATTGACTTGACTGATTTCAAAACTAGTAATCTGTGAATTTGTTGTGGACAAATAATAATTTTGTGGTTTCACTGTCATAACGACCCCCTACGAGGGAAGACATAACTCCAAATTGGCCCGCGACTAAAATGAATTTGACACCCCTGCCTTAGGGTGTTAGAGGAAGAACACAAAAATCCAGCGGTAGCTGTGAATCGGTGAGTTGCGTTCCACAATAAAAAGTAATCGGTGTGCACTTTTTGTGAATGGTGAACCATGAATATGCGTACTTGAATTGTGATTTACAGCGCGTACCGCACGCTGTTGGTTGGTGCATGGCTGGTAACGGTGTTACTTGTCTGCCAAATCTGTAGAGATCCGGCTTCGGTTATATGGATCATCTTGCACTAAGTTTGGATTCAAGGATTCTGATGTCAACATCGACATACAGTATCCACCTCACGTGAGTCGGCCAGCGCAAATACATCCATGCACTCGAGAATGTGGCATTTGCAGAATGCACCATATTCACGTGTTCTCTTTTGTTTTTTTTTTGTTTTTTTTTGTTTTTTTTGTTTTGGTTTTTTTACATTATATCTATGTTGTTTAAAGGCTTTGAAATGGAATGTATTCACAGATGCATCAGCCAGATGTCTTGTTGTCGGTCAAAGAGTGTCTCACCGTGAGCCGTGAGTCACCTTTTTTCTGTTTGACCCCAACAAAATGGTTTTGGGACAACCAGAAATGTCGGAGATAGTGTCTTCTATTTAAGGGTATTGTTTGTGTCTCCTCAGCTCTTTTTGTTGATCTGGAAGCCGATTTTCATGCTCGTGTCCCCGTAGTCATCTGTAAAGAAAAGAAGAGGTGCGTGGCCCAGCCAGCTGTTTAAATCAGCCAGTTCCTGGCAATCAAAAATTCACTTATGGGCATCGACTTTGCCGTGAATTTCAACAAGAATATGCGACAGGAGTGTGAAGCAAATAACTGCACAATGTCATTCAGCCATTTTTTTTTTCCTCACAGTGGTCTGCTCTGCAAAGTAAGTGCAGGAAATGAAAATGCGTTCCAAACCACCTCTTATCTAGCCTCCCTAGCCAAGCAGGAGCATCTCCTCCCCCCACTGGTTCTTGGACTTCGGCGTTGGGCTAAGGTAAAGCTCGCTACCGTTGAACTCTTTCCAAAATCAAAAATCTAAATGATACCACGTCTTACTTTTTTATTTGTTGTAGATCTGTCAAATCGACCGTGCGGAGGAGGGAGGGCTCCCTCCATATGTCTTTGCACTCATGGTCATCTACTTTTTACAACAGCGCAAAGAGCCCCTCTTGCCATCGTATCTGAATCAAGCGGTCTGTAGTTCATTTGGGGCTAGGTTAGCTTTTCAAACTTGATTTTTAACGGTGGTCTGTTCTGTTTTTAGATCAAGACTTTTTCACTGAGCAAGCTTTCAGACTTCAACTTCACATGCGTGGAGGATGGACACTTGCACTGGACTTGCACCTCGTCCGCCAAAGATGCACCGCAGCCACCAGAGGGTACACCCATGAAGGGAAAGGTAAACATTCACAGTAGAACTACGGCAACTGTGTGTGCCTTAGGTCACTGCCCAAACTGCTTCATTGTGCTCAGTTCGTAACTTACAAGCATCATATTTTGGTAACTTGTCAACCGTGGACCCCCTTGAATGAAGTTTCCTTTGCCTTTTAGGTTCCACTGGTTTTCCAGAACCCTCACCCCCCTGTGGAGATCGGCTTTCTCTGGGTCGAAATGCTCCGCTTCTATTCCCTGGAGTTCAACATGGCCGACAACGTTGTCAGCGTACGGACCGGCGCTGTCCTCTCCCGAGAGTTAAAAGACTGGCCCAAGAAACGCATCGCCGTGGAGGGTAATAAGCAGAATGTCGGATTTTGAGTGTGAGCACGTGAGCACAAAACTCATGTATATTTCTGTTGCTTATAGACCCTTTTGCTGTCAAGAGAAATGTGGCCCGCTCTGTTAACAGCCAGCAAATGTATGACTACATCCTGCATTGCCTCAAAACAACCTACAGGTACTTTGCACTGCCCCTCAACACGCCGGCAGCCAATCACAAGATGGCAGCACGAAGTGCAAAGGACTCATGTGAGGGGAAAGAGTTGAGTCAGCTGAGCATTCGGTCCCAAAGTCAACGTGAAGAAAACGGCCCCGAAGACTCTGATTGCATCATTGAGGAAGAGGATGAAATCGAGGAAGGCAGCGACTCTGAAGGGGAGAAGGAAAAGGCGGACTTGGGGAAGAGCAGCTTCTCTGAGGAAGAGGAGGACGAAGATGCCGAGGCGCGAGGCAGACGTCACTTGGACAGCTTCACCACGGAGGACGAGGAGATTTTCCCCGTGGACGAGATCTCGGGGGAGGAGCTTTTGTCTGATGAGGAACCTCCAGATTTGGACACCCCGGGTTCGAATGATGATGAAGAGGAGGAAGAACTGGCGCCCGCTGTCGCCTCACCTCCGCGCTTACCAGACACCGTCGAAAATGAGCTCCCGGAAAATAAACACCACATGCCGACCACAAAGTCATATCAGTTCAGCAAGCATGCGTTCACGAGAGGAAAGGTGGGTGTATTATTCTCATCAATCATCATCACAGTGGATGTAAAGACGACATGCCCTTTTTCAAATATCAGGTTTTTGTGATATAAAAAAAAAAGAGCGACCAAGAAGTCATTTCAAAGCAACTCAATTAGGGGGGAAAAAAACAACTCCAAAAGTGGAAGTAAAAAAAATGTACAAGTGTGCACACCCTCTTATAACATCGAATGTGATGACATCTTTCATTAAACACATTCAAACGCGTGTTCAATGGAAGGTAGCGCACACCTGCCACTATTTTAAGGGCCTCTGATTAACCCCCAATAAAGTTCAGCTGTTCTTATAGGTTTTGGTTGACATTTTTGTAGTCACAGCTTACAGTACAAGTCACAGTGTTTCATTTTTGTATTTTATTTAAGGAAATTGGGAAAACGTAATATGTTGCGGCACAACCCCCAAAACATTTTTTTGGGGGGGGGTCATTTACAGTTCAGGACAGGCCAGAGTTTGTTATTCCCGTTCTGCCACCCGGAAATACCATCGCACCAATTTTATTTATTTATTTATTTTTACAAACATGAAATGGTCCAAAGTTATTTTTGTGCACATGATCCTCCTAATATTTCCCTCTCATCCGTCCGTCCCAGTCGCACGCGGTTGTGTGCAGCTTGTGCAAGCGTGATGGCCACTTGAAGAAAGATTGTCCAGAGGATTTCAAGAAGGTGGAGTTGCGGCCGTTGCCCCCAATGACACCGGACTTTCTCAACGTGCTTGACCAAGTCTGCGAGCAGTGTTTTGGTGAGTGTAAACCCTTACGTATCATTAATGTTGTTTGAGGCACAAGTGTGGAAACATAAGCGGTTGCTTCCGCGAGCGTCGTCATCCCGATCGTTGCATTTGACATCACAGTCACAGACTTATTGACTGGACCGAACTGTTATCTACTTTGTACTACTTTTTTATCAGCTGCCAGTCCAAAATTGTGAAACAGATTAAAAATCAATGCACATCTAATGTTGGTTGTTGTTTCCAGTGGACTTTGCCCCCGATGACTTGGAAATGGCCGTCAGAGAACGCATCCTGCAAGATCTCGAGACCTTTGTCAGGCGACAGTTCCCTGGTGAAGTAAAACCTCAATCACTATTTTGAATGTTGAATTTCTGTGATGGACTGCAAACCTGTCCTTGAAGTCTCAGTGGGATGACTTGAATTATTTCTGCCTTTATTTTGTGGCCAGGTGCACGGCTGCAGCTGTTTGGATCTTCCAAAAATGGTTTTGGCTTCAGGCAGAGTGACCTTGACATCTGCATGGTGCGAGAGGGCCAGGACAACATTGACGTATGTCATCTTATTGTCAGATTTACACGGTGTGCTTGTAAAACAGTCTTATTTGCTGAAATGGAATGAAAATTTCACATCATGATTGTAATGACCTTAATTGTCACTGAAAATATCAACAAAAAAGTGTTGTGTTTTTTTATATATATATATGTATATATATTAACCCTTTGAGAGACAGTGGTTACTACAGCGGACAGCTTATCATGTTATCAGGTTACAGGGTCCATGAAGGGGTCAAAAAAAAGGGGGGGAGTGGGATCGGTAACGCTGGACACGTTTTGCTTGGTACAAACTGTAAACAGCAGCAACCAAAATTAATTTTTCTCCATGCTAACTCGTATGAAATGGACTTAAAACGGCAGCGCTACATCCAGGATATTAATTGGAGTAAATCTGCCTTGCATCGCAGACATGACTCCGATGTTTTGATGCTACTGTGTTATGGGTTCATCACTGGTTTTCGTATCTCAGGTTACAAAAATATGACTTTGCTTCCAATTTTTTTCTCCTCAGGATGTTGACTGCATCAATATAATTGAGCGCCTTGCAAAGCTTCTGAGGAAACACCCTGGTAAAAAGCATTTGATCCTCATTCAAGTTGTACGTGCTAATGTATTGCGGATTTGGGTTTTTTAATTTTTATCTATTTGTTTTTTTTTTCTCCTCTGTCCTCAAAGATTTGAGGAACATCCTGCCAATTACTACAGCCAAAGTCCCCATTGTGAAGTTCTACCACGTCCGCACTGGTCTGGAGGGGGACATAAGCCTTTACAATCGACTGGTAGGAAGTTCACGGCAATTTGTTTCCGACTCAAGTGTCTTATCGCACGCAATTAAAGGTTTGCTTTCCACCTGCAGGCTTTGCACAACACGCGGCTGCTGGCGTTGTACGCCGCCATTGACAGGAGGGTGAAGATCCTCTGTTATGTCATGAAGGTGTTTGCCAAGGTCTGTATGTCACAGACCACGAGCTGTCTTTGAAATGTTGCTCCTTTTGCGTAATCATGTTGCTGTTCCAATTCCAGATTTGTGACATTGGCGATGCCTCGCGCGGCAGTCTCTCGTCTTACGCCTACACCCTGATGGTTCTCTTTTTCCTCCAGCAGAGGGATCCACCTCTTATACCCGTGTTACAGGAGGTACATTTGAACAAAATTCTGAAGGTTGTATTTTGTGTTCCCGCCAAAATGACACTCGTCCAATCCGAAGTGCATATCTGGCCTGACAGAAGATCGAATAGTCTTTTGGGAATTGTAATTTACTTTAGGATTGTGACATTTTTTTTTCTCTCTTGCGCTCAACAAATTATCCATACAAAAATAATAAATACACCAACTAAACTAAAAACAAATTATTTTTGAAATGATAAAAAAAAATTGTAACCCCACTAGTTAAAACTAACGGAAAGAAAAAAAAGTTAAAGCAAAATAAAAGCTAAGATGAAGCTATCACACTTTTAGAATATTAATAATTGTTTTTTGTTGGTTAAATTTCAACGGAGAGCTGCACCTAACAGTTATAAGCAAATCTTTTTTTTTTTTAGTAATTGATCACTATCTGCCACCATAGCTAGCTAGCAATTGGAGCCCAATTTTTTGAGTGAAAAAAACATCACATCTATGCGCTGACTCATATCTTGTAAAACCTGTTGTGTTTTTTTTGCAGCTTTATGACGGTGACAACAAGCCCGAGGTCATAGCGGATGGCTGGAATGTGTATTTCTTTGATGATTTAAAAACACTGGTCGGTACCTTGTATAAACTTTGGTTGTGTCCCCGTCGTATCGCGCCAACGTACTCATTCTTTGCTTGACTCGCAGCCCAGTCGGTGGCCGCAGTACGGAACGAACACCGAGACGGTGGGGGAACTGTGGCTCGGCCTCCTCCGCTTCTACACGGAGGACTTTGACTTTAAAGAGCACGTGGTGTGCACCCGTCAGAAAGCCCGCCTCACCACCTTCAACAAGCAGTGGACGTCCAAATACATCGTCATCGAAGGTTAGTCGGTGCCGCGGACATTCGCGGGAGCGGATATGGGTTTGACTTCGACGGCACCGTTTTGAGTTCATTCAATGAGATGAAACAGCCTTTTAATGTTTAAAATTGAGCCAAGTTGACATTTCACCTCGAAGGCACGGGACAAACTCGCGAGGCTTGAAAACTTGTTTTCCATTGTCTTTCTGTGCAATTGCAAAACGTTTTTGTTCAAAATTATTTCTTTGCAATTGCACTGCATATATTTTGGTTGTGTGCTCAAAATGCCGTTTCTCTTTTCGCACTGCAGATCCGTTTGACCTCAGTCACAATCTTGGTGCTGGTCTGTCCAGGAAAAGTAAAGTCATTTTAACTGATTTTCATGTTTTGTTGATGTGGTCTCTCAGATATGTCTCCGTCGTCACATTTGTTCTTTCATTGTTACAGTGACCAATTTCATCATGAAGGCTTTCATCAACGGCAGAACTGTGTTTGGCACCCCCGTGACGGCGTTCCCTCCCGAGTACCCCCGTCAGATGGTTGGTATTTGCCATTTCAACCTCCTGGTGTTCACGTGGCGTTATTGTCAAAATGTGAACGTGATCTGACCGCGCATGAGTTGTACAGCCTGATACTAGGCCGTTTTGTCACCAGCTGCATTCCTAACCATTAGTCCCAGACCAGCTTTTTAAGTTTCATTCATAGTCTTTGTTAAAGGCTTCAAAGAAAGTCATTTATGTTTCATTATTTTTCAAAGGTAACGAAACCGCATTTATTTTCTTTTTGTTCAGTTCAGTTACAGGAAATGTCAAAAGAGGTTTACGACATTGATTTGCCCACCTGCTAACTTGAACTTCTTGTCTTGACTTTGTGATTCGTCTGCACAATTGCCCAGGAGTACTTTTTTGACCCCCAAGTCCTCACCGAGGGAGAAGTGGCCCCCAACGACCGCTGCTGTCGCATCTGTGGCAAGATCGGTCACTTTATGAAAGACTGCCCAATGCGCCGGAAGTGAGTATCGTCGGCCACAGGCTCGAACATGAAAGGACCGGGTACACAAGTGTTTTTTTTTTTTTTTTTTTTTTTTTTTTGCATCGCACAGATCCAGGCACAGGCACGACTCTGAGAGAAGGCCGGACGGCATGCGTGAGCGAGTGGACACAGGGGAGGACCTCCCGTGCAGACACAAAAGTGAACACTGGAGGTGGCGGGACGCTCCGGAGCCGCGCTGCTGCTTCCTGTGTGGATCCAGCGCTCACATCAAGAAGGACTGTCAGCTCTACAGAGGTTCGCAACGTCTTTTTGTCTTTTCAGGGATGCTGTACTTTTTTTTCATGCTACACACACACACACACACACACACACACACACACACACACACACACACACACACACACACACTCACACTCCCAAGTCACGGGTACTATATTACAATTTGAGTATGGCGCCCTCAAGTGGATGAAAATAACATCAGCAACTCACATGCAAGTTTTTATGTTTGATTTAGCAAAATCCATGATTATCCGAAAGAATACTTGACTGAAAAAATATTAGATATCTCCATGCCCGCCTCTAGCTACTCCAGTTGGAGAGCCTTAAACTTTTTCTATTCTGTCTGACAGGAAATATGAAAATGGAAAACTTCCCTTCGCCCTCATCAGGCCTCGTGAGGAATTTTAGAGAGAAACAAGTATGAATTTAGTTTAAAGTCCGTGAATGAGATGTACACATTTTTGGACATTGTTTTTACGACTCTGTTGAATTTCCCTTCCCCAGAATTCACCGTTAAATGATGAGAACAAAAGGCATCAACATGTGATGCTAAGTCCACAAGCAGGTATGTCTGTGTCTGTTTCAGATTCTGAATGACTGTAATTTTCGTTTTGACCGGCCACAGTAAAATGAGTTACAAAAGTGAGGTTTTGACATAATCAAAAAGAAAATAATCTCAGCTCTCCGTTGATATAACAAGCATGGAGCTACGCTACTCGTTGCATCATTACCACAGGTAGGAATAGGTAGACATTGTGTTAATCATAAATAAAAACAGAATACAGTGATTTGCAAATTATGTTCAAGCTATGTTTACTCAACACAATGTCCCAACTTCAATGGAATTTTTCCTCAGGTAAAAATATTGATATTGATATTGATTGTGCAACCCAAAAGTAAAATTGCTTAAGAAAGTTCTGGTTTATTTTCCTTGTCCATGCGCATTGCCTCGAGGGGAAAGAACATGCCTCAAATAACAGAATTATTGCAATAACACGGTGTGCGGTTTTAGTTTTGAGCAGTGTTTTTCAAAAATGTATTCTGCTTGTGGTTCAGGCAGTTTAGCGACCCGCAGTTTAGGTCGCTCCAGTCACAGGAAGAGCCCGGTGGAGTGAGCGGCGGCTGCACAGACCCTCGAGGTTCAACTTGTGTCCAGGCAGACGGCGACCCGCCCCGGAAACCATGTCAGTGTGAACAGGGGTCTGTCGGGCTGACACCAAGGAGCCCAATTAACAGCCAAAGCCAGGACGCCTTGACTTGAAGCCATCTTGGGCCTTTTTAAAGTTTTTATTTTAATTTTTTCTTTCCCTCCCCACCCCACCTTTTTAAATGTTGATTTTAACAACACCCGCAACGATGGTTGGACCATGTATCTTTGATATTCAGTTAGTTGTTTAAAAAAAAAAAAAACTGGTGAAATAGGAAGCCATCTAGAGCTTATTCTGGCCAATGAAAGCATGAATTGTTTATTTCTATTAATTTTGTACTGTTCTGAAAGTGTTTGACATGAGCTTGCTTGATTTCTGTATCTCTATTTATATTGATGTTTCAATGGTGAAACGACCTTAACTTTTACCTGGCCACATTTATTATAATTTTTTAATTTATATTATTTTAATATTTTAAATTTGATTTGTCCTTTGCACTGATACCCGCAAGCCCATTTCCCCATCTGCTTTAAAAGTTGCTAACAAGTAGCTTCCTCTGTGTAGATGTGTGTATATATTTTAGGATCATTGTTTCATTTTAAGAGACTGCTGGTCCACTTTTTTTATAAACAAAACTGGCAGACCCAACCGTCCTCACCCTTTTGGAGCAAGCTATCACAAGCCAATAAAAATGGTCTAGATGGACGCAATCATGCTAAAGGCCTACATTTAGAGAGTAATACGGTGAAGAGACATCTATTTGACTGCCACGGATTGGTAGCCGCACTGCGAGGGGGTCGAGATCCTCTATTTCTGTTGCTGCTAGATGTTTAAAAAAATTTAAAAAAATGCTTGTGACTCATAGACGCTCTCGCTTTATTGCAGTTGTGATGTAAGGTTGAATTTTATTAAAGAATGTGGTTGATATTGTAAACTTTTGGTTGTTTTTGAAGACCGCAGCCTTACTGTTTCTTTTTTTGTGTTGGATTTTGACTGATTGATGTTCAGTGTGCCAGATACGGCTTTGCAGTCCATTTTAGTCATTAAATTCAAACCAAATCCCAACGGTGTCCTGAAATATTTTCTCTTCCAGAGGACTCTTCTTGATTACAAATTATTTCATAGTCAGGTGCATTGCAGTACATTTGCATATAGTATAGAATTGAATTGATTTCATTCTATTTATTTATTCATTGTATTACTGTATATGATTACACCCTGAACTGGTTGCCAACCAATTGCAGGACACACTAAGACAAGCGACCATTCACACTCACAGCGAGGGATAATATAGTGTTCAATTAACCTACGATGCATGTTTTGGGAAAGTGGGAGGAAACTGAAGTACCCGTAGAAAAGCCACGCAGGCATAAGGAGAACTTGCAAACTCCCCAATTTAAAAAAAAAAAAATTAAGAGCTGGCACCATTTTGAACTTGGTCCCAAAAATAAACATAGGGTCACAGAAAACGGCATCGAAAAAAGTTAAAAACATTTGTGAGAGTAAAAAGTACAGTCAGGAGGTAGGACAGAGTTTGATGGAGGAGGACAATTTGCAGCAGTGCGCCCTAAATAGCCGAAATGAAAAGAAGCAGACTGTGCAAGTGTACTTGTTTCTAGCGAGTGCATTAATTTATAGTCTATTCTTAGTTTGTCAACTTCTTCACGTCATCAAGAAGGAAAAAAAAAACTCAAATTTGGGTGATGTTTTGGATTCATTTTATTTTTCGTGTATAGGAGAACAGAATTGTTCCTATGACATGACAAGACATTTTTTTTAAAACTTTTACAGCTTGTCTTGGTTGTGCTGTGTTTAATTATTCATCCCCACTTGTTTGTTGTATCATCAAGTCACGGCCACCTGGGTCCCATGGACTGGGCCCGGATGATGCCATGCTGTAACTTGAATGTACGGTGTTTTCTGCGGGCCTCTGCGCCAAACGGCAGTGTGCCTAAAAAGAGCACACACATGGCCACCACCAGGATGATCTTCAGCAGTCTGGACATATCGGTTGACCTCTGTGGGCAATATATTCGGAACAGATCTCAGTATGATACGGTCCAGTACACCAGTGGACACAAGCATCACAAAAAAACAAACATGTAGTCAGGGATGTGAACGAGAAAAAAATGACTAGAAGACCTGGGGTGGGGCGTGACTAAAACTTGGATGCTGCTAATGGCAAACACACATAAGGTACATTAAATGAGGTAAACAGGCACGGATTTGCACTTATTTAGTCATTAGTCAGTTTGGTCCCCAAAAAAACCGCGGAAATCTGCCGATTGTTGTCAAATTCTCATCCCTGATTACGTAAAGTTCTTGTGTGAAATCCAGCTAAAGTATGACGCTTGCTCACCTTTTCGCTCCACAGATCGAACCTGAAGCAGTTTGTTGGATTTGTCCGGAAAAGCAACGTGCTGTACCACTGACGGTAAACAGGAACACTTAAATACTTATTTCATGTTGACGTAAAACTGATGTTTGGGAAGGGTGAAAACTTTTCTTAGGATGATTAAATGACTAATAATGTGTTTGACAAGGTAACTTGTTGACACATGTTGATCATCCCTCAAATCATTTTACACCCCCAACCCCACCGTGTAGTCTTCCAAAATGGCCGCTGTTGTTGAACAATCTGTAAATTGAGGGGTTCGTAAGGTTTGGAATGGATGACTCTACGTCTAAAAAAAATGGAGTGGAAACATACCACCGGGTGTGTAATGATTTTATTACTTCGTACATTCATCAAGGCGTCTGAGGGAAATTTATGGGTTGATGACTGAGATGTAATTTTTAAGATTTAACGAGTTTACGCCTGAGAATGACAAGAATGCCTTAGCTGACTGCGCATGTATGTTTCTTAAACACGCTAGAGCCGTGTCGTGATACTAACTAATGCTTCGGTACGCTATATATTTTAATTATTAATTTTTTTTGAATCTGTTGTTTAGTCAGACGTCTCTTTTACACTCATGCAGCACCTGGGTTTCTTCATTCATGAATGAATGCATTTCATGTTTCCATTTTGCGTTATCTAAATCATGAATTTCAGACATCTTCCCACCCAGCCTACACCTGACTAAAAGACAAACGTAGAAATGTCACAATGCATACTATACAAGTGCAAAAACTTAATTATTGGCATTTTTATTTTCAAGTGTAAAAAATGTCATGAAGCTTTACTTTCTTTAGATAAGTTTGTACCTCAATAGTCTATTTATGAGTGAGTGAGGGAAGGCACTTCGATGTGAGTTCCAAACGCCCTCTTCCACTTATGCGAGTCAATGAAAATCAAAGGAAACTACTTGAGGTAAGATGAACACATCCGAATTGGTTTAATTCACTCACTTATGCAAGTCAATGAAAATCAAAGTAAACTACTTGAGGTAAGATGAACACATCTGAATTGGTTGTTTGATCAAACGCATGAATATTCCGATCATCATACTATATATAACGATTTTTTTAATGGAACATGTGAAAGACTGCAGGAGACTATACTAATGTTCATTATGACATTCTCCACACTCCCAATATGGCAAGCGGAGTGGGACACTGTTGGAAGCCGTGGACCGGGCCTGAATGATGCCCGGTGGTGTCCTGTCTGTTTTTTTTGTTTTGTTTTGTTTTTTGTGGGGGCGTAACCACTTAAATAACTCATCTCAGGTTGACCAAGCACAATATTTGGGAAAGGTGAGAACGTATTTTTCTGAAGATGGTTAATTGACTATTGATGATTAGTTGACTATTGATGTGTTTGCCCAAGCAACCGGTTGAGACGTTTATCATGCCTCAAATATTTACTTTTCTCCATGAAGATCAGCGAGCTCCACAGAAGCCTGATAATGATACATTTGAATCATGTTTGCTGAAGGTGGGAAACATCAAAAACATGCATGATAGTGGCCCTCAAGAACTGATTTGGACACCACTCCATGATTCACTCTCACACACACGCACTTCATTTCAGCGAAGAGTATGTAGTGTGAGTACAAGTTACCGTATTGGCCCGAATATAAGATGCCCCTGATTATAAGACAACCCCCTCTTTTTCAAGACTCAAGTTTGAAAAAACACTTTTTGAACACCAAATTAATTTTTATACAGAAAATAATTACAGTACATCTGAAACAAATGATTATAACAATATATCTGAGAGAAAAAGCATATTGCCTCATTCAAATCTTAATATCTGAACATTTAAATATGTAAACTAAAGTGCAATCACATTCGTTAATGAATGGCTTCTGGTTTTTGAAATGTAAATGACATCATAACTTCTCCTCAGCTGCCGGTTAACCTGGCCGATCTTCGACCCACTTTTCTCCAGATTGCCACTACGTTTTTCCATTTTCTGTTATCTCTTCTGTTATTTTCTTCTCTTTTCTTTCTTACCGCTATTTTTTATTTTTCTTCTTCGTGCTACCGCTATTTTTATTTTTATTCTTCGTGACAGGGGTTCGCTTTGGCCTGGGGAGTCAAGTTCAGCATTCGCTTCAATGATATCTGGCGCCATCTAGCGTCATGAAAGGGTATAATGTCTAGACCCCGAATATAAGACAACCCCCACTTTTTCAGTCTTATTTCAATATAAAAAACACCTCTTTCTGTATATTCGGGCCAATACGGAATATAGTGAACTACGTATTTGCACTGCGTTTCAAATTCTTGTGCAAAAGAAAAGCCTTTGGACACTCCTGCTCTGAATTATCTTAAAACGGCAAAAAGAAAAAATAATTTGGAAGACTTTTTTTCTTTTGTCACACAAAGGGGATATTTGCAGCTGAACATAATCATATCAAAGTAAGTTCGCTTGCTCAAACACATTAATATTCCAATAATCAACCTAGGAACAACAAATACCATTCACAAGAAGTATTAAGTCAACATGAAAAGAGGTATTTAAGGGTCACCGTCATTGGTACAGCAGATTACTTCTCACTCCACCACCGCCGAGCTGACTCAACCTGTGGAGCAAAAAGGTGAGGAGAATTTCATACATTAACTGGATTCCACATGAGACCTGTCCCACACGTTTAATATTGTGATTTTATTTGTGTGCAGTGGTGCACTGTATTGTACTGAAATCTCTTCCTAATATTTTGCCCTTCCAGGTTAACCAACATGTCCAGACTGCTGAAAGTCATGCTGACGATGGCCACGTGTGTGCTCATCTTAGCCACGCTGATGCACAGTGCAGAGGCCATCTGGCACCATCGTTCTAAGACAGGACAGAGGCAAAACCAGGACAACAAACAGGCCCAATCCAGATCAAAATTTGGAAGCGGCACTGGCGCACAGTCCACAGCCATTGGTTCGGTGGGTGATCCTGGCTTTGGAAGTAGTGGCTACGGGGGTAGTGGTCAGAGGGCCCGTGGTGGCCTCGGTGGACGTCATGGCTTTGGGGGCGGTGATGGATGCGCAGGTCTCCACGATTGCGGTCAATCCACAGAAGGCTCAACCGTACCAGGTCTCCTGACTTACACCTCCCACCAATTATTTTTTGTCTAAAAAATAAATAAATGAATGAAATCATCACAAACGGGCACCCAGGTCAAACAAGCCACCTCCCGGCTGTCAGCCAGGCACAATCCAGGGTACGTGTTGCAGCAATACCAGGATAGCAGACACTGCAACTGTTCTCCGAGACATGAAAAATAAAATCAAACATCAAATGAGTTTAAAGTGTTGTTTTTTTTTCTGGAAAAGTTGCAGTTCAAGATAGCCATACATAATATTTGGTACAATATTCTAAAGGTCACTTACAGAGCTCTCAGCAGTCAGCCTTCTCCATACTTGGTGCGTCAAGTATCATGGTTTTGTCCGGTTGGGTCACTGCTATTACTATTACTTTGTCTCCCTCACAAAAGAACAGCAGCAGTTTCTGGCATGCACATGATGTGCGGTCGCACAGGGTGACATGGCTGGGCAGGCAACACCACCCCAAAAATATATATTTTTTAAAATAGCAACATGAAATGATTTTCTATTTTGTTTGCAAATAGTTTGGACACCCCTGACCTGCAATTTATGAGCAAAGAGCAAAAAGAAAAAAATATACATTAGAAAACTTTTATAAGGGCGACCCGGTGGTCCAGTGGTTAACGCGTCGACCTCACAGTGCAGAGGTATCGGGTTTGATTCCAGTTCCGGCCTTCCTGTGTGGAGTTTGCATGTTGTGTGGGTTTTCTCCGGGTACTCCAGTTTCCTCCCACATTCCAAAAGCATTCCTGGCAGGTTAATGGAACACTCGAAATTGTCCCTAGGTGTGAGTGTGAGCGTGGATTGTTGTTCGTCTCTGTGTGCCCTGCGATTGGCTGGCAACCGGTTGAGGGTGTCCCCCGCCTACTGCCCGAAGACACCTGGGATAGGGTCCTGCTCGCCCCGCAACCCTTGTGTGTATTAGTCATACAAAGGGGAAATTTGCAGCTTCACATCATCATATCACCATTGTTTGCATGCTCAAACACATTAATCTTCCAAGAATCAACCAAGGAACAACAAATATTCTTCACTGTGTTAAGTCAACATGAAAAGAGGTATTTAAGCGTTGCAGTCATAGGTACAGCAGATTACCGTACTTCTCACTCCAACACCGCCGGGCTGAATCAGCTTCATCCTGTGGAGCAAAAAGGTGAGAAGAATTTCATAAATGAACTGTATTCTACATGAGACCTGTACTAAATGTTTAATATTGTAATTTTAGTTGTGTCCATTTGTGTACAGTATCATACCGAAATCTGTTCCTTATATTTTGCCCTTACAGGTTAACTAACATGTCCAGACTGCTGAAAGTCACGCTGACGATGGCCATGCAAGTCCTCGTCTTAGCCATGCTGACGGCCAGTGCAGAGGCCATCTGGCAGCAACTGTCAAACACAGCACATGGGCATCACCAGGACATCATCCAAGCCCAATCCAGATCAAGATTTGTACGTGGCAGTCGCGGTAGTGGCTACAGCAGCGGTGGTACTTATATGTCCAGTGGTGCCTTGGCGGACAGTGGCCAAGGAGACAGTAGAGGTTATGGTTTGGGGGCCAATCTTGGCTCCGGAAGCGGTGGTGGCTACGGAGGCGGTAGTGCTCAAAGGGCCAGTGGTGGCTTTGCGGACACTGGCCAAGGAGGTGGTGACAACAGTGGAGGTTCTGGTTCAGAGGGCAGTGTTGGCTTTGGGGGAACTAGTGGCCACAGGAGCGGTGGTCTACACGGGTGGTGGTCAAAGGGGCAGGGCTGGCGTGAAGGACACTGGCCACATGAGAAATCGTAGCTTGGAGGGCGGTAGTGGCGACAGGGGAGGTCGGTCACGGGGCCAGTGGTGGCTTTGGGCCATTGGCCAAGGACGCGGTAGCCGTAAAGGAGCTCGTGGCTTTGAGGGCACGTGTCAAAGCAAGACCAGGATGGCAGACACTGCACCTCTTCTATTGTCCTATACATGAAAAATTAAATGAATATCAAAAATCAAACGAGTGTGGGGTTTTGTTTCTTTTTTAATTACAAAAGCACAATACTCTCCAAAATAATGCCTCGATCCTTCTATTAAATTCAGATATTGACTGACACTTAAGTGCGGTGATTCCCACACACATGAAACAATACCTGATGTCCCTGTGGCATTTCATGGAATTTGGCAAATCATATCCAAAAATGGCATCCAATTTCATAGTAAAATGAAAAGGGCGGACATCCTGCCAGGTTAAGGGTATGACTCAAAATTACATTTTTGTTTTTCTTTGGCAGTTACATATGCCTCCCAATTTGAAATATTCAGCCAGGCGTGCTCTGTTAAAAATGTAGAGGGCATTTCTGAGTCATTGTCAATAAAATACAGCATTCCAAACTCTTGTGCGAGGCAAAACTCTTTGCAGCGTACTGCTCTAAAACATTTTAAAACAGCAAAAACAAAAATATATATACTTTGGAATACTTTTATTAGTCACACAAAGGGGAAATTTGCATCTTCACATGATCACATCACAGTCATTTGTGTGCTCAAACACATTAATATTCCAAGTATCAACCTCAGACCAACAAATAATATTCACAAGAAGTGTTCAGTCAACATGAAAAGAGGTTTTTAAGGGTAACCGTCATTGGTACAGCGGATTACTTCTCATTCCAACACCGCCGAGTTGAATCAGCTTCAACCTGTGGAGAAAAAAGGTGAGGAGAATATCATACATGAACTCGATTCCACCTATGACCTGTCCTAAATGTTTAAATATTGTGATTTTATTTGTGTCCAGTGGTGTACTTTATGATACTGAAATCTGTTCCTAATATTTTGCCCTTAGATGTTAACTAACATGTCCAGACTGCTGAAAATCACGCTGATGGTGGCCATGTGTGTGCTCGTCTTAACCACGCTGACGGCCAGTGGAGGGGCCATCTGGCATCAACTTTCAAAGACAGCACACGGGCAACACCAGGACATCATCCAGGCCCAGTCCAGATCAAGACATGGAAGGGGCACTGGCGCACAGTTTGTAGGCGGTAGTTTCGGTGGTGGCTTTGGGCCCATTGGCCAACGAGGTGGCGATGGGAGATTTAGTGGCTACAGTGGAGGTGGTGACTTTAGGGGCAGTGTCGGGGGTGGTCAACAGAGATGCAGTGGCTCCGCAGCCCTGCACATTGCGGTGGTTTCATAGAAGGTTCACCGGCAAAGGCTGTACACCTCCCATCAATTACATTTTGTCCAAAAATAAAAACAATTAAATCCTCGCAAACAGGCACCTAAGGCCAAACAATCCACTGCAGGCCGTCATCCAGGTACAACCCAGTGCACGTGTCAAAGCAATGCCAGGATGGCAGACACTGCAGCTCTTCTATTGTCCTATACATACAAAAATTAAATGAATGTCAAACATGAAATGAGTGTAAAGTTTTTTTTGTTTTTTTTGTTTTTTTTTTTTAGGTATTGCAGTTCAACGCAGTCATACACACATTCAGAACAAAAGTGTACCGGTCACTGACATAGCCCTCAATGGTCAGCCTCCTCCATATTTGGCGTATCAGGTCTCAGGGTATTCTCCTGTTGCATCAGTGCAGCCCAACTTTTACTAAAATGGCAACGTGAATTTCTATTGTGTAAAATGACACGACGCGTCTGTAAAATACGTAGAAAGAAAATAACAAAAGCTGAGCAAGTAAACTGCGGTAGACTGTGATGTTATTTATTATCATGGCATTTCTGTCAGTGCGTCACTAATTTCATCAGTTTGTTTTCATGGCAGCAAAGTGGGGCTGATTTCGTCTATTGTTGGCGACAGTCACTCCAGAACATCATGTTACGTCACACACAGGCGCCGAAGACAACCAGCAGCCAAATTGAAATACAGTAAATGAAAAAAAAAAAAAAACAACAGACACGTGCACTGCGTGGTGATTGGTGAAATAAAAATAATATAGGACACATGTCATTGAGGTTTGTTACACTGAAAGCTACACAACGCTCTTTTATTTTTCATTTTTTTCTGTACTGTATTTGGTTGCTTGGCAGGTGGGTGTTCCCTGCATGTGACATAGAACCTGTACCGGGAAGTCCGTTCTTGACGGTGTTTGGCTTTTCGCCGACGACTCGGACGGACCGGGCCAAAGGACGATTATTGTATGAATAAGAGCGGAGGGATGACGACGGAAGGGTACCCAAAACCCGGACGGAGGACGGACCAGAAAAATAAGGTAAGGTGCCCATCTCTGCCATTGACTGTCCGCAGCCAGACTGGAAGCGGAGCTCTTTTGGTTTCAAATGATGAGCTACTTCACTTACTACTAACCACTAGTAATTGTGTGTATTTTTTTTTCTATTCAGCTTTCGATATATTGACGCAAGTGGCGCTACTGTACAATTGATGCAAATTGATGGTTAGTAGACAGGAAGAGGACAAAGTGTACAGTTTCTTGAGTTTAATCAATGCGTTGTATTTGCCACGGTAATGAGATGCACTGAATGCAGTGGGCACAATGGAGAAGAAAAAAAGCTGCATCCAGGACACAAACAAACCAACCATCTGTGACTGCGGTAGTTCATTTGTTTCCAATCCATGAGTGGTATACAAATTCTGTAAATCCTGCAAAACAGCTGAAATATTAGTAAAGTCGTCTACAAATTCATTTTCCACAGCCACATAGTCTAATCAAGCAGTACGTAGTACTAACAACTTTAAATCACGAAAAGTAACAGCAGATCACCTTGGAGCATCACATAGACTTGACAAGTATCGTGGTGTGAAAAAGTTTCTGTCGCCTTGACCATTTTCAAGATTTTCCTTTATAAATCATTGGTTGTTTGAATCGTCAATCTCAGTTCAATATATCATATAGCAGACAAACACAGTAATATTTGAGAAGTGAAATAAAGTCTATTCCTTAAACAAAAGTAGGCAGGTGGATAAATTTGGGCACCCCAACAGAAAAATGACATCAATATTTCGTAGATCTTCCTTTTGCAGAAATAACAGCCTCTAAACACTCCCGATAGCTTCCAATGAAGATCTGGATTCCGGTTGAAGGTGTTTTTAGGACAAGAAAATCTTTGTCTCACATGATGAATGAATGAATGAATGAAAAGAAGCAGACTGTGCAAATGTACAGAGTGCATTAATTCATAGCCTCTTCTTAATTTGTCAATTTATGCACATCATCAAGAAGAAAATAAATCAAACTTGGGTGATGTTTCGCATTCATTTTATTTTTCGTGTATAGGAGAACAGAATTGTTCCTATGACATGGCAACATATTTTATTTATTTATTTATTTATTTTTTACTTTTACAGCTTGTCTTGGTTGTGCTGTGTTTAATTATTCATCCCCACTTGTTTGTTGTATCATCAAGTCACGGCCACCTGGGTCCCATGGACTGGGCCCGGATGATGCCCTGCTGTAACTTGAATGTACGGTGTTTTGTGCGGGCCTCTGCGCTGAACGTCAGTGTGGCTAAAAAGAGCACACACATGGCCACCACCAGGATGATCTTCAACAGTCTGGACATATCGGTTGATCTCTAAGGACAATATATTAGGAACAGATCTCAGTACGATACGGTCCAGTACACCAGTGGACACAAGGATCACAAAAACAAACATTTAGTCAGGGATGAGAACGAGAAAAAAATCTACTCGTTGACCGGGGGCGGGGGGAAGGGGGGGGGGGGACTCAAACTTGGACGCTGCTAATGCCAAACACATAAGGCACATTAAATGAGGTAACCGGGCACAGTAGACATTTTGCGCTGAACGGATTTGCACTTAATTTGTCACTCGTCATTTCCGTCCGAAAAAATCAGAAATTTGCAGATTGTTGTCAAATTCTCATCCGTGATTATGTAAAGTTCTTGTGTGGAATGCAAGCAGCGGCTGATGTTTGCTTACCTTTTCGCTCCACAGATCGAAGCTGAAGCAGTTTGTTGGAATTGTCGGGAAAAGCAATCTGCTGTAAAACTGGCGGTAAACACTTAAATACTTCTTTCATGTTGATTTAAAACTCTTGTTTGGGAAGGGTCAACATTTTTCTTGTGATGATGAAGTGACTAATAATGTGTTTGATTAAGTAACTGGTTTAGAGCTCAAATTCCCCCCACCCCACCTCATTGTCTTGCAAAATGGCCGCTGTGACTAAACAATCCAAGAGAAATGGAGTGGAAAATTACCAGCAGGTCTGGAATGATTTTTATTACTTTGTATATATGAGGGAAATTTATGGGATTAAGTGACTGGAAGGTATTTTTTAAGATTAAAAGAGTTTACGCCTGAGAATGACAAGAATGCCTTAGCTGACTGCACATGTATGTTTCCTAAACACGTTCGAAGAGACTTGTGATAGTAACTAATGCTAGAAACAATAACGGCACACGAGTACAGCAGTGGATTCTGGCATTCGCATGACGTCGGAGGGGGCAACACGACCCAAAACATATGTATTTTTTTAAATGGCATCTGAAATGGTCACAGCTGCACAAGACTGTGTTAATATTTATGATGACGTTCTCCGGCCCTGCACACTCAAAGTATGGCAAGCGGAGTTGGACGATGTTGGAAGCCGTGGGCTGGGCTCGAATGCCCTGCGGTGCCCTGTATGGATGATTTTTTTTTTTGGGGCGGGTGGGGTAACGCTTAAATAACTCATCTCAGGTTGATGAAGCACAATATTTGGGAAAGGTGAGAATTTATTTTTCTGAAGATGATTAATTGACTATTGATGATGAGTTGACTATTAATGTGTTTGACTAAGTAACCGGTTGAGACATGTTGATCAGGCCTCAAATACAGGGTGTTCCAAAAGTCTTGGGGACATTTGAAGTCCCCATATCTCCTTAACTACGAATGGTAGTAAGATAAAAGTCGTGCCATTTTAAAGCAAATGACATGAAGATTTTCGTGAAGCTATTGATTTTTTAAATTTCTTTTCAGTCCCATTAATGGCGTTCACTCAACCAGAAAAGGCGTTTTGTGTGCTTGAATTTGCAAAAACGGAATCGGGGACTGTTGTTCAACGTGCATTTCGCTGAAAATTCGGAAAGGAGCCACAAGAGAGGAAGTCCATAGTGAGATGGCATGGTAAATTCATAACGGATGGGTGCTTATGCTTTAAGCTGAAGGCACGAATAACAGTAGCTGTTGCAAGCATTGACAATGCAATGCTGGGACATGTTTGGCAAGAATTTGACTCTCGGTTTGATGTGTGTCGTGTGACCAATGGTGCGCACATTGAACATCTTTGAACATTCCATGTGAAAATTGAGATGACAAGCTTTCTGAATTTACCAGATGCGTTTTTATATCCTTAATAGTTTACGAGATATTCAATGTCAAAATGTGCCCAAGACTTTTGGAACACCCTGTATTTTGTCTTTTCTTCCTGAAGATCAGCAAGTTGTGCAGAAGCTCGATAATGATAATTTTAATCACCTGCGCGGAAGGTGGGAAACATCTAAAACATGCAGGATAGTGGCCCTGAAGAACTGATTTGGACACCACCGCACGATTCACTCTCACACACACACACACACACACACACACTGATTTGGACACCACCCCACAATTCACTCACACACACACACACACACACACACACACACACACACACACACACACACACACACACACACACACACACACACACACACACACACGTCATTTCAGCTCCGAGTACATTGTGTGTGTAAAAGTTATATAGTGAACTACGTTTTTGCACAGCGTTTCAAATTCTTGTGCAAAGGAAAAGTCTTTGAACACTCCTGCTCTGAAATATCTTAAAACGGCAAAAAGAAAAATATATAATTTGGCAGACTTTTTTTTTTTTTTTGTCACACAAAGGGGATATTTGCAACTGAACATAATCAAATCAAAGTAAATTTGCTTGCTGAAACACATTAATATTCCAATAATCAACCAAGGAACAACAAATACTATTCACGTGACGTATTAAGTCAACATGAAAACACGAACTAAAGGGTTACCGTCATAGGTACAGCAAATTACTTCTCACTCCAACACCGCCGAACTGAATCAGCTTCCTCCTGTGGAGCAAAAAGGTGAGAATACGCTGACACCCAGTGCAGAGGTCATCTCGTACCAACTTTCTAAAACAGGACAAAGGCAACACCAGGACAACATACAGCCCCAACCCAGATCAAGATTTGGAAGTGACACTGGCGCACAGTTTGGAGACGGTGGCTCCGGCGACAGTGGTCACTTCAGTGGACGGTGGTGACTCCTGGGGTGGTGGTCAAAGGGCAGGCAAGTGGTGGCTTTGAGGCATTGGCCAAGGTCACGGTAGCCCTAAGGAAGGTCGTGGCTTCATGAGCACCTATTTAAAAATGAAATCACCGCAAACAGGCACCCAGGCCAAACAAGTCACCTGCCGGCCGTCATCCAGGCACAATCCAGGGCACGTGTCAAAGCAATACTAGGATGGCAGGGACTGCAACTGTTCTCTTCACCTGTAAATGAAAAATAAAATGAATATCACACATCAAATGAGCGTGTAGGGTTTTTTTAAAAGAGAAAATATATTTGAGAGTTATTGTAATTGTTGGTAATATGACTTCTGAGTTGTGGAGCCCCACAGGGATCGGTACTTGGCCCTCTCATGTTCATCATCGACATGCTTCCGCTTGGTGACATCATATATAAATATAACATTAGTTTTCACTGTTATGCTGATGATACCCAAGATTACACGCCGTTACAAATAACTAAGTAGCAGTAGTTGTGATCTCAAGGCCTACCTTTGTCAACCGGTTGCCAGATCAAAGACAATGTTTTCATAATCATCCTGACATCAAGATGTTCTTTTCTTTCTTGAAGGTGGATGATTTACTCCAACCGGTTGCTTGTTCAAACACAATACTGTATACACCTAATTGTCCCTGGAACAACACATTATTTTTCCAAAAATGGAATGTTAAGTCAACACGAGAAGAGGTATTTCAGGCTTACCGCACATGCATTCTCACTCCCAACACCAACGAGCTGCTTTAGCTTCAACCTGTGGAGCGAAAAGGTGAGTGAACATCCACACGAGAACTATACAATTTTTTTTTGTTCTCCGTTGTTGTCCATTGGTGTGCTGAGTCTTACTAATATTGTACCCTTACAGGTTCACCAACATGTCCCCACTGCAGAAGGTCACCCTGACGGTGGCCATGTGTGTGCTTATCTTGGCCACACTGGCGCCCAGCGCAGAGGCCCGCAGGCACACACGGGTCTCAAGTGTCCCCGAGTCGGCAAAGAAGGATCCAAATCCAGTCGAGATTAACAACTGGAGGCACACAGTTTTTGCGGGGCAGAAAGGTAAGAGGAGCATCATGCATCCATTGGATTCTACATGAGAACTGGGCTAAATGTTTATTACAGTGGTACCTCTACTTACGAACGTCTCTTCATACGAAATTTTCAAGTTACGAAATGTTTCAACAGGAAAATATTGCCTCTTGTTACGAAAGAAATTTCAAGATACGAAAGGTAAAAATACAGTGTGGGCTGGTACTTGAAGCTCCGAGTTTCCTGAATGCAACATACTTACAGCTGCTCTGCTATTGGCCATTACCGAGCATCATCCTGGCACCCCCTTGGCTAGGAGGGACTTCTACCAGATGTGTCTATGTGTGTTGATAGATAAATAGATTGTGTGTATGCAGCGTCTTCGTCATCCGCCCCTCGGGCCATGAGGTGTTCCAGTAGTTTTACGTAAATGTGAATTACCTTGAAAAAGTGTTCACCAGTCGGGCGATCGCTCACTATGCTGATGTTTGCCTGGGACATTTTCAAAGGATTGTTAAAAGCCGACAGAAGCGAACGTCCTCGGATCAGTTCTTTACAAAACGCCACGCAAAAACCACTTCTGAGAGAGAAGATGGACTAAAGATGAGGACGCAGTTAAAAGTGAAATGACCATCATTTTTATTCTTTACTCGATACTTTATTTTTTTACATTATGCACAACTCTCATTTATTGTTGAATAATCTAATTGTAACATATATTTGCTCCATATTTTGATGCATTTTTATTCTTTAGGAAACATTGATGTCTGAATTTTGGGAGGGCTTGGAACGAATTAGGGCATTTACATGGGAAACTCGTCGACTTACAAAACTTTCTCGTGAAGAAATTTCTTCTAGAACCAATATATTGCTCTTTACAGGTGAATCAATATGTCAAGACTGCTGAAGGTCACCCTGACGGTGGCCATGTGTGTGTTCTTCTTAGCCACACTGAGGATCAGTCCTGAGCCACCACGTGGACGCCCCGGCGCCATCCCATCCAGGCCCAGTACAGGACATAATCGAAGCAATACGGAGGCCCAGAACTCACAGGCAAAGAAACAAATGCGGATGAATGACGAAATACAGCACCTCCAAGACGGCAGGTAATAATAGTAAAAATAAAATATCTTGTAATGTAATTGCAAGAATTCTATAGTCACACATGAAGAGTAGCTGGGATTGGACTACAGCGCGCCTGCGACCCTCGTGAGGATAAGAACATCAGATAATGGATCGTGACAGAATAAAAGGGGTTATAAAATATGAAACAAGTTTGAGGTCTTTTTTTTTTTTTTTCCAGAAAAAATTGCAGTGCAACATTAAGAATATTACCCGAGCCAGATGTGTTGACTCCTCTAGACTGTACTTTTGTTGCCCCTCCCCAGGTGCTGCAACTTTGCCAAGGGAGTTGGGACACCGTGAGAAGCATCAACGGAACCAAACACATTTGTTCAGCTTCCAAAACAAGTGCTCATGTTGACTTAACAGGTTACCGGTAACCATGTTAGTGAAAGTGACTGCGTCTCAATTGGACAAATCAACGATGAAAGTAATTGTATTTAAAAAAAAAAAAAAACTAAACTATAAAATAAATGTAATAATTCACCTGTTGACGAATAAGAGTGAAGTTCATGTTCCAATTGTTTCTATTGCTGTATTTTAAATGATACCGTTATAAATAAATCCATTATCAAAACAGCAATTCGAAGAGCAGTCGGATGCTTTGCTCTTACCCATTTATGTATTTATTTATTTATTTTGCTGCATGTTTTGAGTCGTTATCCTGTAGCATGAATCATCCATTATAGTATTTTGTGTTTATGTGTTTTGTGAGCATGTCATAACCAGAGGCGGGTAGTAGCGCGCTACATTTACTTTGGTACATTTACTTTTTATAAGTGTACCTATGACATGCAGGATAATGGCCCTCAAGAAGTGGATTTGGACACCACTCCACGATTCAATCTCACACACACGGACGTCATTTCAGCTATATACAAAGTGGATGGTTTGAGTACAAGTTATATGGTATAGTGAACTATGTTTTGGCACGGCGTTTCAAATTCTTGTGCAAGGGAACAGCCTTTGGATACTTCTGCTCGGAAATATCTTTAAACAGCATAAAGAAAAAAAAAATTAACTTTGGAAAACTTTTATTAGTGATACAAAGGGGAAATTTGCAGCCCAACATAACCACACCACAGTCAGGTGCTTGCTCAAACACATTACTATTCTAAGTATCAACCTGAGAACAATAAATATTTTTCACAAACAATGTTAAGTCAACATTAAAAGGGGTATTTAAGTGTTACCATCACTGGTACAGCAGATTACTTCTCACTCCAACATCAACGAGCTGAGCAAAAAGGTGAGTGGAACATCATACATTAACTGGCTTCCACGCAAGAATTGTACTAAACGTTTAATATTGTGATCTTTGTTGTGTCCAGTGGTGTCCTTTATTATACTGAAATTTGTTCCTACTATTTTGCCCACAGAGGTTAACCAGCATGTCCAGACTGCTGAAAGTCACGCTGATGGTGGCCATGTGTGTGCTCATCTTAGCCACGCTGACGGCCAGTGCAGAGGCCATCTGGCAGCAACTTTCAAAGACAGCACACGGGCAACACCAGGACATCATCCAGGCCCAGGGCAGAACAAGATTTGGAAGAGAAACTGTCGCACAGTTTGGGGGGGGGTGGTTTTAGTGGTGGACTTGGGGGCATTGGCCAAAGAGAAAGTGGCCGCAATCGATGCGGTAGCCCGAGGGGATGTGGTGGATTTGGTGGCTTTGGATGCGATGGCGGTTTCGGGGGGTAGTCAACACAGAGGCAGTGGGTCCGCAGGCCTGCACATTGCGGGGGATTCATAGAATGTTCACCGGCAAAGGCTGTACACCTCCCACCAATTAATTTTTGTATGAAAAATAAATAAATGAATGAAATCATCACAAACAGGCACCCAGGTCAAACAAGCCATCTGCCGGCCGTCATCCAGGCACAATCCAGGGCACGTGTCAAAGCAATACCAGGATGGCAGATGCTGCAACTCTTCTATTGTCCTCTATATGAAAAATTAAACTAATATCAAGCATTAAATCAGTGTACAGTTGTTTTGTTTTTTGGAGCTACTGCAGTTCAACAGCCATACACACATTCAGTACAAAAGTGTAACGGTCACTGATATAGCCCTCAATGGTCAGCCTACTCCATATTTGGCGTATCAGGTCTCATGGTATTGTCCTGTTGTATCAGTGCAGCCCAACTTTTACTTAATCTCCCTCGCACAGGAACAGCAGCAATTCCTGGCATGCAAATTATGTGCGTTCACGCCGGGTGGCATGGGGATGCAACACGATGCAAACTATTTGTCTTTTAAATGGCAACGTGAAATGATTTTCTGTTATGTAATGACATGGCATATCTGTAAAATACGTGGAAAGAAAATAACAAAAGCCGAACAAGCAAACTGTGGTAGACTGTGATGTTATTTATTATCATGGCATTTCTGTCAGTGCGTCACTGTTTCCGTCAGTATTCCATGACAGCAAAGTGGGTCTGAATTCGTCTATTGTTGGCGACAGTCACTCCAGAACATCATGTTACGTCACACACAGGCGCCGAAGACAACCAGCAGCCAAATTAAGAAAAAAAATGAAATTAAAACAACAGACACACGCACAGCGTGGTGATTGGTGAAATAAAAGTAATATAGGACACATGTCATTGAGGTTTGTGAGACTGAAAGCTACACAACACTGTTTTAATTTTCATTTTTTTTTCTGTATTTGGCTGCTTGGCAGGTGGGTGTTACCTGCATGTGACGTAGTACCAGTAAGTCCGTTCTTGACGGTGTTTGGCTTTTCGCCGACGACTCGGACGGACCGGGCCAAAGGACGATTATTGTATGAATAAGAGCGGAGGGATGACGACGGAAGGGTACCCAAAACCCGGACGGAAGACGGACCAGAAAACTAAGGTAAGGTGCCCATCTCTGCCATTGACTGCCCGCAGCCAGACTGGAACCGGAGCTCTTTTGGTTTCAAATGATGAGCTACTTCACTTACTACTAACCACGAGTAATTGTGTGTATTTTCTCCCCCATTCAGCTTTGGATACATTGGCGCAAGTGATACTATTGTACAAGTGATGCAAATCGATGGTAAGTAGACAGAAAGAGGACAAAGTGTACAGTTTCTTGAGTTTAATCAATGCGTTGTATTTGCCACGGTAATGAGATGCACTGAATGCAGTGGGCACAATGGAGAAGGAAAAAAAAGCTGCATCCAGGACACAAACAAACCATCTGTGACTGGTAGTTCATTTGTTTCCAAATCCACGAGTGGTAAAGACATGATGTAAATCCTGCAAAACAGCTGAAATATTCGTAAAGTCGTCTACAAATTCATTTTCCATCGCCACATAGTCTAATCAAGCAGTTCAGAGTATAAACAAGTTTAAATCACGAAAAGTAACAGCAGATCACCTTGGAGCATTACATCAACTTGACAAGTGCAGTGGTATGAAAAAGTTTGGGACGCCCTAATCATTTTCAAGATTTGTTCCTCTGTTCCTCTGCCTGAATGCCTTGGTAGAATTTGAGCAGCGTTTAGGGTCGTTGTCTGGTTGAAGTATCCAGCCTTGGCGCAACTTCAACTTTGTCACTGATTCTTGAACATTGCTGGAAATTGCCGATACGTGACTGGAATCCGTGCAACCTTCAACTTGAACAAGATCGCCAGTACCTGCACTTGGCCACACAGCCCCACAGCATGATGGAACCACCACCAAATTTTACTGTGGGTGGAAAATCTTGAAAACGATCAAGGGTGCCCAAACTTTTTTTATACCACTGCATCTCTTAGCCACCCCCCCCCCAAAAAAAGCAACAACTTCTTGAGTCCACATCCACTCAGAATGACAGAGATAACAAATTTGCATTTCTAGCATTTTCAGAATCCGTTTTTTGCAGGAATGGGTAATTTTTTTTTTTTCCCCGATCGGGAACAATTTGTGCATTATACAGTAAATACATTTTGATCGTTTTCATTCCCCAGTGGGCGATGCTATTTGGTTTAGCATTATATAGTCATGGCAATTTGTGAGTTAGATGATTTTGAGTTTTGGAGTTCCTCTGAGGGTCAAAAGTTTTGACTTGCCTGCCAGGGCCAATCAAATGCTCTCGTGCAAAGCGTAGGATTGCGCACCCTTGCGTCGAAGAAAGATCCAAATGACTACAATTCGTAAAATGATAATGCATTTAATGTAGGGCATCTAGAGAAAAAAAAAACAAACGATCCAGTACTGATATGAACAAAGGGAGCAGGGGTGACTAAATCTCACAAAATACAGAATTACCTAATACAGATGACTATTTTGCGTAACATTAAGGGTCCTTTGTATGAGAGGGGCAACGCATTTGGGACAACGTGATTAAACTCGCATGTTTATTTGAAAGCACAAAAAAAAAAAGAAAAAAGTTAATATTACTTTGGAGTTTAAAGATCTCCTATAAATAGAATTTATTTCTGGATAACAGAGTATATTCTCTTCAGCTTCAGGAAACTCAAGTGTCTCCGTGTTAAAACAATACTTTCTTTACACTTCAGTATATTCAAATAAAATAAGGCAGCTTACATATTGCCGCAGTCTTGTCTGTGTGAAAGGAGTGAACTCTCTTTTTCTCTCTATAAGCACTCGTTTTTGAGAACCAGGGCAGCACGTGCCGTGGAACCTGTTCCGGTCAACTGATGGACCCTCCAGGTCAAGACATGGCCAACATGGTCCAGTTTGTGGAGAAAATGATGGGAGGTGGACGGGTTCAGTATCGCGGTGTTTTGTCACACGTTGAACAGGCGCAACCGGCGGGAGGGGAGGGAAAAAAAAATGCTAACGATGGGAGCTTTGATCATTTCATGAGTTTGCATAGCAAACTGTACATAGCTAGTGCTGCCACAATGTAAAGCCACAAATGACAATATACACATTTACAAATTTACAAAAGGAGGAATCTGTGCGAAACAAAAAGGAGTCACCGTTGAGGCAGTCGCCTGGCTGCGCCATGCCAAGTCTGGAGATGGAAATGGGAATAGAGAGCGTTTTGGAGCGCAGAAGTCTGCGTTCCAGAGCACCGTCGCGTCACCGACAGTTAACATCTTCAGAGACCCTCTTTGCTTGAATTGGCGCAAGAGAGATGTAAACAGTTTGATAGCTCGTCAATAGTGCGTGGGTGTCCTTGTTAGGGGCTTCTGGGATGCCTAAATTCATCTCCCCTTTTGAATCCAGACGCTCGCACGCCTCTTTACACACCGTTGGCACTGATCTTGCTCTTCTGGGACACTTCAGTTGCTGCTTTAGCCTGCCAGAGAAACGAGAAAAAGTTTTTTTTTTTTGTAGATTTGTCACGGCAGAGTTATTAGATACAGCACTGGTTTTAGATAACATATTTTGTGGCTGTTCATGGATATACAGAAAAAGTAATGGAAACATTCTCTTGAATTGACATTTAAAATGCCATTACACTTTCCCAAAATAAATTGGGAAGACAAACTAATGGATATGTGGATGACGTACTTAACTCACTTAATTATCTACAGTACAGCTGTAATGTTTTTTGATAGCGTTAGGAAAGATTTAGAGACTGTGGAGATAAACAAAGTAACTTAAACTTTAGCGTGAGTGTGGGTGATGGCGACAGCTCTATAAATAGCGGCTATTTAGAGATCACTGATCAAAGTTTCTATTCAGGAATTTTCATGGGCGCTTGTGCTTTTGTTAGACCGGTAGGCTGAACGTTTCGGCTCGACACCAACCTCAAAATTCTACATTGGTCGTTTTAGTTTTGCTTCATTTTTAATGAAGAGATACGACTCATCCAAAATAACAAATGTGGTTTAAAGAGGTTAGGATGTTATTTGTGAAAGACCAAAGCCAGGAAAGGCTAATCGGATGAGAAAACGCAGTCTGCTAATCCTTGCTTCATCGCTTTGTCTTCCATCCGAATCGTGCTCACACATTGCAGTAAAAGAGATTTTAAGAACCAAAATGACGCCTTGTTAAAGATGCCAAAGGAGAGTAAGCGAGTTTGCATCCGTTTAAGGTGCCTGGTCAATTCACTCACTGCTCTCACGTGTTCTCAAATTGTACACCAACAATTTTTTTATTTGTATAACTCATTAGTAAGCAGTACCACATTTTTCTGCTCACCTGGAGGACTTCAGCGGGAGTTAAAGGTTTGTCTGAGATGATGGGAGCCTTGTTCCTTATCTCCTCTGCCTGCAACACAAAGATGATAAATGGTTCCACTTTTCAGTAAGACTAAGCATCTAAGAATTGGTTCTGAATACATTTAACAATACTAGAAATAATAGATATAAGTAATAGACTTGATAAACTGATGAGAGTAATTTCAATGGGAAGATTGAAGTCATGCCCGCGTATTTTAACAGGATGTGTCTTGAACTTTACTTTAAGGCTTACCGTATTTTCCGCACTATAAGGCGCACCAAAAAGCATTCCATTTTCTCAAAAGCCGACAGAACGCCTTATCATCCAATGCGCCTTATATGTGGATCAATATTCTGATTTCTTGGACGCAGTATTTAAAAATTTCTGTAAAGCGCTTTGTTACAGCTGCAGTGGTTGTGAAAGCTCTATA